TTAAATGCTGGACCCCAGGAAGCCTCCGCTTGGCCCTTGTGTAGATTGGTACCCTTTGAAAATGACTCACTGTGGACCTACCTAGAGGTCCTGTGACCCCCAAATCACAGGAACACATGATATATGGCAGTCTACATTTTCAATGCTGGCCCCCCTGTGGGGAGGGTGAGACCAGTGATGTCCGAGTTAGGAGAATTCTGCCAATGCTTCTGCTTCACTCTGGATGCTAGGTGGATTTAGGTTTTCTACACTAACTGGCTAGAATGTATAAAACCAGTGAGAGGGAAGTCAGAACAATGTTCCATGTTTTGAGCAGAATGTTTGTTTCACACATATGGCAGCTTTTTTTTAAATATCTGTACTTTTTTTAAAAGTTATGTTTTTATATGAAGAAATTCAAAGAAAGTTAGATTGTTCAAATTGTCATTTTTAGACCAGAAGACATTTCAATGTCTTCATTTTTTCTCCTTAAATTTTATAGCTAAAAAGAAAGTAAAGTAAAGTTGTCATCATATGGCGTATGTGCTTAGAAGGTAGAGACAGTGTTTTCCAAAGAAAATGTGTCCTCCTTAATTGAATCTCTCACAAACCGATTGAAAAGTTTGTTTCTGAGTGGAATGTATTTCTGCTTCATGGGCTATGAAATGAAAGCTTGAATATTTGGTAATATTTAAAAATTTTTTGCGATGTTCAAAAAGCATGCTCTCACTTGTAGTGACTGGTCTGTCCTGACAGAAAAATCGTGTTCTGATTTCATCTACTTTTTGACATGCCATTCTGCCTTCCTGCCCCACATACAGAGTTAAAACTGTCAGTTGAAATATGCCTCCGCCGCTTGTTTTCTGATTAGAGTCTCGGTTTTAATACGGCGGAAGGCAGAGGGATGTGGGAATATTTCCTGTTTCATTTTCTCAGCTGCAGTTCCATGTTTCTGTGTCTACAAAGGCTTTTGTGCTTTAGACCAGCTCGAATGATCTCTACAGTTCATTCAGGGGGAAAAACCCAGGAAATGTAAAGAAACACCTATTATTAAATTATCCTTTATCGCTGAGCTTAAATGTCACCCTCTATAATGACTTGTGAAAATCTGTGTTTATAGTAGTTTTCAGTGCCTTTAGTTTAGGTACAATAGTAGACATCATAGTGGCCCAAATTGCAGGGGCACTATGTCTATTCTGCTTTTCAGGAATTATTTTTGGGTGAGGAGTTTGTCTTGGGGTTTTGAGGTCTATCAACCATAGCTTTGTTTTGGTTTTGTTGTTGTTGTTGTTGTTGTTGCTTTGTTTTTGTTTTTGCTTTTATTTTTTGAGACAGGGTTTCTCTGTGTGGCTCTGGTTCTGGAACTCCCTCTGTAGACCAGGCTGGCCTTGAACTCAGAGAGTCAACCGCCTTGGCTCTGTTTTTGAAACCTAGCTGTTAGTGGACATCTTGCTTACACTTACCTCTCACAATACTTTGTGTTCCCTCTGGTATGTGAACCTGCTTCTCTCACTGGCCCATGCCTCCCCTGGGAACACACGGGAAGCAGTGCTGAGCTCAGTTGATTAGAAAGCTAAGTTGACTCATGGATTGGATCCCTGTGACATCTGACAGCTTTCCTCACATTTAGCCATAGCCTGGACACTGAGATAGGGAGGCTGATGAGCCCAGAATTCTTCCAAGAGTGTGGGTGACTTAGCACAGGCCTCCACTCTTCAAGAAAGACACCAAAGTATAGAGTACACTGCCATGTCTCAGTAGCAGGGTCACAGGACAACACAAAGAGGGGTGAATGGCTGGAGCCTCCCGGTTGCAGAGTAAGCAGGCAGCCAAGTAAGATTACATGAAGTGTGTTTTGCAGAACCTGGAGAACAGACATAAAGGTAGAATTGGGTTCCGTCTGACGTAGAATTCTGCCCTCCGGTGTCTACTGGATTGTCTGTTACCATCTTGAGGAAAATCCTTTTTTTATGATTTGGGTGTGTTTGAGTAGCCCGTGCATCGATCCTAGCTCTCCTTGACTAACCTTCTTCTGGTCCTGTGGTTATCTGGAGCCTGGAGTGACTGTGGAAGAGCAAACCACTGAGCTGATGAAACTGTTTTCCTGAGTTCATTCAGGGCAGGTGAAATTCACGAAATTTGAAATTTGAAAACACAAAGCTGCTTTTCGCTTTCCATGTTTCTGTTGAGGACAACAAAACTGTGGACTTTCCAGGTGTGTAGATTACTCCCAAAGGTGTGTGCCCTCTGCTTCCATTTTTCTGGCAGAAACAAACAAACAGAAACAAACTTTACCATCAGCAGATTGTTGTAATACTCGATCATGTTTTTCTCGCGTGGCAGTAAAATATGCATAACAAATTTTACCATTTACCATTTTTAGGTGCACACCTGGGTGGCATTAAAGATACTTATGATGCCTTAAAACACTTAAACACTATCCATCCAGAACTTATTTCCTTACCCTGGACTGAAACTCCATATTCATTAAACAGTAACCCCCTGTCTCCACTCCCTAGAACCACCTCTCCTGTGTCTACACTTTATCCACCTTAAGCATCTGGTAGAAGTGGAATTACATCATTTCTTTTGTTGCCATCTTATCTTAGACTATTGTTAAGGTTCTTCGATGTAGCAGATGTCAGAATTTCATTCCTTTTTGAGTCGGAGTAATATTACCTTGTATTTATTCCTTCATCTATTATTGGTGAACATGTGGTTTGCTCCAACCTTAGGAGTCCTGTGAGTAATGTATTTGATGCTTCCTAAACTATTCCTGGCCGCGTTTGCTCTCTCTCCAGCACATGCATCCTTCCCCGAAAGTTAATAGGTTCGATGAGCTTATGCTTTTTGCTATTTTCTATCTTTTGCATTCTGTTTCCTTCTTTTGGCCTATTGCAGGTCAATAAATACTTGATGCTAATGATAGATAATAAAAGCTGAATTTAGGAGCCTAGAGCTGTATGGCACTTTAAACATCATATCTGTATTACATGGGGGAACGTATTGAACTTGTTTTCTGAAGCGCCAGTAACCAGGGGTCAAAATCCAATCATGTGCTTATTTCAGAGTTAACACACTGTCACTGGCCACTCCTTCTCAAGGGTTTAGGAACAGCGATAGCTGAGTTATGTATGGGGCCATGAGTCAGGGGGATGCATGGATGCAGGCTGGTTAGAATATAAATCTCCATGAGCTCTTTTGTTTGTTTGGTTTTTGTCTTGTGTGTCAAGGACATGGAATTCAAGTAGCTCAATAATTAGGAGACAAAAGCTGGGCCTGTTGTCCTGGGAAGCAGTAGGAGAGAAGATGTTAAATTTCTCTTGTAAAACTAGGTCTCTGGTGAGTCCCAGAGTCTCCATTGAAAGCAAGGGCAGGGGGTGGAATTCATTGTGTGCACTAGAACCCCACAATAGAACCGTAATGGTTTGTATTGAAAAAACAATGCGGTGAAAGTGAATTGGGATAAGTATGAATTCATAGTAGATGTGGCTGAATGTTACGTGATTTATTATAATTTAAGAAAGTTTTAAAGCACACATTTGGCCATGGGTTTTCAATGGCTTTTCTTGTATATAAGATACATGTGGTGTTAGAAAAATGTCTATGAATGGGTCTTTGTTTAGAGCTCTTATAGTAAACAACAACAGGTAGGAGGGGTGCCTTCTAGAAGCTTCTTTGATGAAATTTCACCTCTGGCTATCTGCACACAATCAGGTTTGCCCACAGAGAGGCCTACAATGAGACTATTCAGGTCGGAAGAGAAAACACAGAGCCACATAGTTTATAACCTGACTAGTGCCTCACGGGGAGTGGTTTCTTCTCTTTTCTTTTTTATATCAGTTACTCTGGATTAAGCACCCACAACCAGTCCATTATTTTTTAAGCCTAAAAATCTATTTGTAGTTTGCTAATAAAAATAGTCCATGTTCCTTAATTTACAGTTCTGTTAGAATTTACTATGAAACTCGTGTCGCCCACTCCTTTTGCGTATTTAGCACTGCAAAGCTTGCTCTCCTGGGTGCTGTCTTAGGCTGTTAAAATGTCAAATTGGCAACTGATCTGTTTCATAAAATGCTGTGAGATAGATGCAGCCAGACTAGAAGGCTTTGTGTGCCAGGATAATGTTTGCTGTTGTATATCTATCTGTAGGCTGCTCTTAACAACCCCTCTTGCTTGTCTTGGCTCTGTTAAGGAAGTTCTTTGTCATCCTTCCCCCTCCAGATGTAATTTGTGATGTTGCCTGTGGGTCCTTTCCACAGACTTTACTGGCACACATCTACCCCTCGCCACACATGGTGGGTGGACAGGGCTCCTCCCTCTCCCCCTCCGAAACCTTCCAGCTGTTCCTTTCTCCTCTCCATCTGTCCTGCCGCCCAGAATTGGAACTGGCTTTGTTTGGCCTTTCGTACAAGGCCCAGGCAGCTGAGTTTGTCTGGCTCTTTAGTGACTTTTTTTAAAAGTGATTTCAAGGGTTGCATTTATCTTTGGCTTAGAAACAATCAACTAGTATCAACATGGTAACCCGGTTAAGAGAAGAAAAACTGTCAGAATTACAAGCCCTGTTTATATTATATATAATAAAATATATACTATAACATAAAACCAGCCCCATGGGAGGCACGTGTGATTATTAAAGTGTCCTATGGGGTGGTGTATTCCAGCTGATGATGGCCAGAATCCTCCTGTGGCCCTCTTACGTGCTCTGGCCTAGTTCAGAGCCTTACAGCCCCACTAAATGGGTAGCTAACGCTGTGTACTCCAAGCCTTCTGTGGTTACTGGCTTGTGTGGCCTTTCTGTGTTTAAGGCGAGCTTCCTCTCTTACAGCATTCCAAGAAAACCCTGATTGCATCATCTTTGAGTGACCCCCACTTGCCCGCCCCATTAGCCAATGGTTTTTGATTTCTTCTTTAAAGACCGGAAGCGTGTTATGACCCAGCGAGCCAAACTTCCTCCTCCCAGAAGCCTAGAGCTGAGCACAGAAGGAAGGGATTAACCCAGCTGTTCTCTTGCCTTCCAGATCTGACTGAAGAGCGACTTGGGGACAGCAGCTCTGCAGACAACGCTGCGGAGGCCTTCAGCGACAAAGACACCGACCAGAGGAGCTCCCCGGATGTGGTCAAAGGCAAGAGCTGCTTCACTCCAGAGAGCCCCGAGATCGTGTCGGTAGATGAAGGGGCATACGCCGTGCAGAAAAACGGGGGGAACCCGGAAAGCTGCCCTGACAGCCCCAAGTACCACGCAGAGCAGAGCCACCTCCTGATCGAGGGCCCGTCGGGAACCGTCTCTCTGCCCTTCAGTTTGAAAGCCAACCGGCCACCCCTGGAAGTGTTGAAGAAAATCTTCCCCAACCAGAAGCCCACTGTGCTGGAGCTCATCCTGAAAGGCTGCGGGGGCGACCTGGTCAGTGCGGTGGAGGTGCTGCTATCCAGTCGGTCCTCGGCTGCTGGGGCCGAGCGGGCGGCCGAAGAGAGCCTCGTGCTGCCCTCCAGCGGCCACATCTTTGAACACACGCTGGGCTCCTACCCCATCTCTTCCTCCAAGTGGTCGGTGGGCTCCGCCTTCCGCGTCCCCGACACCTTGCGCTTTTCGGCGGACTCCAGCAACGTGGTCCCCAACCCCTTGGCCGTGCCCTTGCAGCACCCTTTCCCTCAGCCACCCCGGTACCCACTGATGCTGAGGAATACTTTGGCCAGAAACCAGTCGAGCCCCTTTTTGCCCAACGATGTCACCCTGTGGAACACCATGACGCTGCAGCAGCAGTACCAGCTGAGGTCCCAGTACGTCAGTCCCTTCCCTAGTAACTCCACCAGCGTCTTCCGGAGCTCGCCCGTGCTCTCCTCCCGCACCACAGAGGACCCTCGGATCTCCATCCCCGACGATGGGTGTCCGATCGTGACAAAGCAGCCCATCTACACAGAGGATGACTATGACGAGAGATCCGACTCCTCGGACTCTAGAATACTCAACACATCATCCTAAAGTGTTCCCTATGGGTGGTGACCAGGTGACATTTTGTGTGTGCTGGGACCCCCACCCCCAGGAGAGTCCGCTAACACTGTATACTCTTTCTTCCTGTTTGACAAAGTGACTGTGCTTGATAGTCTATACATTAGCAATAAAAACATAACTTATTTAATTCCCTGCACTTCACTGGAAAATGCCAAATAGGTCTGCTCTGTGGATTTCGTGCTGAGTGTTATAGATGAGCCTAAAGCTAAGGACTGCCTGGGGAGGCTGGGTCTGGGGAGATTTAGTCGGAGGGTCAGCTTTACTCCTAAATTCAACTTGGAATGTTAAGTGAAATAGTATACTTGAATGCAATTTTGTGAAAGGATTCCTCAGGATGCCGGAAACCTTAGGGAGTGGTCCGGTTGCAGTTGCTGACTGACTATGAACAGGGACTATCGCTCCAGTTCAAAGAGAGACTGCACTTCGGGACAGAGCGGACTACCCAGCTGCCGCTTATTTAAGCCTGGACAGTTTTCAGAGACGAACTCCACCAAGAGTTATTCTTTTCACTTGGCTGAATCGAAACATGTGTCATGTCAATATAAAACCAATCACAGCTGTGAGCTGCATGAAATGTATCGTGAAATGAACACAAGCTTAAGCTTTGTCAGGTTAATGTAGCATGCTAAGGACTCTAGAAAAATAAACTAAGGAGACGGTCTTGGTCGATGTCTTTTCTGCTTGTGGAAGGAAGAGCTCCAAATACAGAGTCTCGGGTAAAAGTTCTCTACTAATGCGCCGGTCCGAAACGAAGATACCGTTCAATGGGATAGGTCTTAAACTGGGTGTATCCTGTAGTGGCAGAGCCGAGGGTCAGCAGGTGTAAGCCCTGGTTTAGTCCCCAGCACTCTAAACCACTGCAGCAAGACACAGTGATAATGAAAAAACAACAACAACAAAAAAAAAAACAAGCAGACAGAACCCACCAACAGTGCCCAGAGTGACTGAGACAAAGAAGCCAGGTGTTTCTAGTAGAGACCTGACACAAAACCTCTGGGGTGTGAGGTCCGTGAACACTCGCTCCCAGAAGTCCCATGGTCTCACACGCAGAATACAGGTGTGATTCCCCCATTTTCATCGGGACAATTCTAGTATAAGGCAAAGCATTTAGGGTCCCCCTCCCTTCTCTGGGAAAGCTGTGTGTGGTAATCTCACTTAACTCTTTAAGAGAAATTTCATGACTTTTATTCTTTGGAATGCCTGAGAATTGGGATGACTGCTTAGGTCAAGCAATAATGTAATGAATCTTAAGCCTCCACACGGGAGGATGTGAGGGGCACCCCCAGACAAGTGTAAGCTTGGAAGGGCTCTTGAGTGATGGGAGAAGGGTAAACTTTCACCTTGAGATACCTCCAAGACAAAACAGCTCTGGCAAACGGGTCTTTTTTTGTTTGTTTTTGTTTTTCGAGACGGTTTCTCTGTATTGTTTTGGAGGCTGTCCTGGAACTCGCTCTGTAGACCAGGCTGGCCTCGAACTCACAGAGATCCGCCTGCCTCTGCCTCCCGAGTGCTGGGATTAAAGGCGTGCACCACCACTGCCCTGCCTGGCAAACGGGTCTTATTCAAAAGAATCTTGTCATTTTTTGTTTCCACAAGGCGCCTCTGGAATAAGTAATCTTTGCATGAGAAAAATTCCTTGCGCTGATTGAACTATGAATTCCGTGGACACAGCGACCTACCAGGGTGCTTGAAAGTAAATAGTGTTTTGTTGTTGAGGCTCTATGTGAGTACTGATGCTCATAAGAGAGAAGTGGAGGAGAGAATGGTCTGCCCTTTGAACTTGAAGGCACGATGTGGCGCTGATGTCTGCCCAGGGCAAACGTATTTTAAAAGACACGTGCATTCCCATGGTTTGCCCACATTTAACAGGCATCGATAATCTCCCATGGGAACCAATCGGCATTAAGGCTGCCTCTAGATGTTACTTCTCCAGGTGGAATGGTCCCGGGGGGAACATTGCCTGGTGCGTGTCCTCACATCTGGATCATCAATGTCTTAGACATCTTTTATGATGGACAGAGGAACAGAACAACCTTAAAACTGTGCAGCAGTCTATTTGCGAGCTGGTGAAGGTCTGCTTTTTGCTGAGTTCTTTTCCCCTCAATGTTATCATTTGAAGAAAGAAATATTTTGATGAGACGAGAGTGGGCAGGGCTCCCAGAGTGAGACATGGGTTGCTGGGCTCCTGTATCCTGTTCCCTCTGCATTCCTTATAGTTGAGTCCCTTAGAGTGTCAGACCCTCTCAGATTTCTGAGTCTGCCTTGCCGAAGCATGTAGTGTTCCAAGGAAGCTGAACGCACCTGCCCACAGCACTCAGTTTCTTTCCCATGGAGCTGAACATCTGGATGTTGTGATCAGGGGGACATCGCCTTACTTTCAGATAAACTCCCAACTGTCACACAGCATCTGGGTGCTTGGCTGTGGACTTCCAATACTCACCATCTATTTGACCTGGAAGCCTGTCAAGTCTGATTAGAAGTTGGTTCACATGGAACTTCAGTCTTTCCTTCCCCTTCTGGTGAGGTCCTGTCTACTTCTAATTGTAGTTAACTGTTTCTCCATCCATCTAAGATTTTGTGAAGCGTTAGTTGTGCTGTGAATCCTTCTGTCTCAAAGTGGTTTGTACATCCTAGGCTGCATTTCTAAGGCAAATTCCTGAGCAGATTCTGGCAGATGGGGCAGTACCATATCATCATCATCTTTGTGTAATTTGTGAACTCACCTGACTAGAGCCTGGTTTCTTTCTCATGTGGTTTTTGTCTCAGACCTATGCTGAGTGAAAACATCAAGTACCATGCTGAAAATTCCAGTCTGCCTTCACACGGTAAGGTGAACCTCATGGTTTAAGCCCCTGAGCACTGGCCCTAAGTCTAGTGCACACAGCTTTGAGGTCTGGGTCAGTTACCTGGTGGGTACACATTTGGAGTCAGAAATGCCTGTTTCTGGAAACTTCACAATAGCATATTTGTGTGGTACCCTTTCTGCCCAGGGGTAAGGCTGGTCTATCTGGGGTTGTGGAACCTTCTGGTTATTCCGCAATTCCCAGGTTACTGGTGACATCTGAGAGTAATTTTACATTGCTGTTTTAGATTTTGAAAAAGTAGCAGGGGTGAAAGAAGTTTCATAGGTAGGCCAAGATGCAAGGTGTTGGGCTGTAGAGATGACTCAGGAGTTAAGAGCATTGGCAACTCTTCCAGAGATCCTGAGTTTCAGTTTCCAGCAATCACATGGTGGCTCACAACTATCTATATAACGAGATCTGGTGCCCTTTTCTGGTGTGCAAGCATACATGCAGGCAGAACACTGTATACATAATAAAGAAATAAATCTAAAAAAGAGGAAGAAGCAAGGCATGTATGTGCCCCTAAATAACAATAGATGGCCAGGTAGGTAACAGGCATTGGGAAGGCATGGGTGGTTCTAGACCATTGATACAGTTTGCTAGGTTAACAAAAGCCTTCTAATGAGCCATTTTACATATTCAAATTTTATGAAAAGAAACTGCAATAGGAAAGAGAGTGAGAGATTCAGTAACCAGATATTACAGGATCTGCTTCTCAGGGACTACCCTGTCAAGGTCTTCCTGCTTGCACTGTGTATCGATCTGGACAAAGGCAGTGAGGGGGGAATCTTGGGAACATTTGTTGGGTGCCCAGGAAACAGGCTCTGGCTGCATTTGAACCGACATATTTGAAAAATGAACTTGATCTCACTGCATACTGTCTCAGTGATTCATTCTTTCTATGCGCATTTACTCAGCGGAAGGAAGGCGGGAAGAAGATGGATGCTAAATTTATATGTTAATTTTAATATTAAAGCTATCCTACATTTGAAGAATAAGATCAATGCTTCAATTTCATTTCTTATGTGATACTGAAAGTTGTCATCGCTAGGGGAAAAAATCACTCCCGAATGCATCCTCCCCAAATTCCAATCTTCCAGGGCAGAGCAGCCTCGGAAGAGGCAATCTTGCCCTTGCTGATGGTCTATGCAGGGCGGGCTTCAGCGTTCCCACAGTATCACTTACTATCTCAGTGTCAAGGGGAAATAGCGAGCGTAGCGGCTTGTCCTTAAATTGCAATGGTGCTTATTTACTAATTGGATCGTGAGAGTTGGCTGGGGTGGTTGGGCTGTGTCATGAGTTTCATATATCCCACAGGCAAAGCCGCTGGACTTAACCGAAAGTAAACTCAGCAGTTGTTAAGAAGATGTATCCCTCAAGAAGATCAGAGTCACTGCCTGGTGGTTTTAGATCATGACCTCAAACTCACACTGGGGTTTAGATGAAAGATTCCGGAGGTCTGTGCAGAGGTGACAGAGGGAAGGGGGGGGTCTGTGTCTCCCAGGCTAGTATGGCAGTTCCAGATGTGGAGGGCAGGAGAATTGGGCTGGCGATTCTGCTTAGCCTGAAGCCTACTGTGGAGATGGCAGGGGACTGTGTCCTTCCTGCAGAGTGCTGGCTGGCTGGAGGCCACTAACTTCTTTGGCTTCTGCCCTAGGAAGTACTGGCCACCGTAGATCATGGGGGAGTCGTTCATGTTCATTCTGTGGATTGCATCAAGACCAGCCAAGGGGTCAAGTGAGGCCCTGAGTCTGATAGTGCCTTCTCAAGTTTTCCAGAGGGGAAAATGGGCTGTTTGGGGAGGGGTCATTTCATTTCCTGTTCCCTTCCCCTCCTCTTTCCTTTAACCTGCCCTCTCTCCCCACCTTCCCTCACCCTTCTCTCCTCCTTTCTTTTTGAGACAGTCTTGATAATCGTCCCAGTTCCGTGCTCGAATTCTCTCCATCCCTCTGCCTCGGCCTTCTGGGTGACAGGGTTACAGGTGATCAACACCGTGCCTGGTTTAGGAGCCTCTCTCTACTTTGCACAAGGTCCGTCAGCGTCTCGAAGGTGCCCGAGGAAAAGAGGGGGATGGGCCAAGGGTGAGTGAATGGGTATGGAGGCTGATGGTGGCAGACAGAGTCCTGGCCCCTGGACCAGCGGGAACCTTCCTTATACATTCTGCAGCCAGCCCACCCTGGGGGCTGAACCGAAAGAGAAGAGCTGAGAACATCAGCGTGGAAAAAGCTGTGGGCTGCGGAGAAAGAGACCTTCATCAGCCGGTCCCCTCTTCCCACTGAGAAAATAGGAAGTGAGTTCCGATCGCCTCATGCTTAACACAAGACAAAAACAAAAGCAAAGCAGCCTTCACTCTGTGGAGCCCAGAAGGAAAGTTCCAGGAAGAGGAGACGCACAGCTAGTTTTGGTTGGTTGAGAAGCCACTACTTGCATCTGAAATCTTAGCTATTCATGTTGTTTTCCTTTTGAAGTGCTGGAGATGGATTCTAGGGTCTGTTGCCTGCTAGCCCAGGCTAGCCCTCCCTTCTGACCTTGTTTTATTTCTAATGATTTTTTTTTTGGTACCAACTCAGGCTCGCAGTGACTGAACTGGGCAGATGTTGTTTGGGGCTGTCTGAGCCACAGTGGGAAACAACTGGAGGATGACTGCAAATGCCAGCAGCCACCTGGCTCACACCCTCTGTCTCTGATGTCTCTGAGAGGGCTTCAGGCCACTCATCTGTTTCTCCGATACAGTAGCACCCACAGTCACAGTCCTCTGCATGTTCCGGATCTTCCAGAAACACCAGGTCTCATGCAGCCTGCTCATGAAAAATACCTT